GGAAGGAAACAAATATGTTAATAATATTCGTTTTTTTGTAGGAAATGTAACTAGAAAAAAAAAACAGTAAATAATAATAAAATGGTGAGAAAACAGTCAAGCAGTCTGCAGCGAAGTACAAAGATCAGAAGGTCTTCAGAGGGTCTCATATTCACATTTTCACACCTGGTTCAGGGGCACCTGGTTCAGGGGCACCTGGTTCAGGGGCAGATTTTTCCCAGTTGTGTATTTTCAAATTCTTGCGCACTCGAGCTGGTTTCTCCAACATTACCTACCCCACGTTTAAATGTTTTATGTCAACAAATGATACTTAACTGTGTTAGGTTAGTTATGTATATATTTATCTATAACCAGGTTGAACTTAATATAAATGTGACATTTGTTGAGATTATACATTTAATTCAGTGTATGAGTAAAAGTCCTGCATTCAAAATCTTAAAAGTAAAAGTACAAAATTATTTTCAGCTAAATGTATAAAGAGTAAAATAACAATAATTAGCCATTTGTGTGACTTAAAAAGTTACAAGTAGTTTAATTTTTAGAGATGCATTTAGCTAACGCTGTAAATGTATCGGAGAGATAATGCCTCATTTGCATAATTAGACATCAGAAAGATTAGAGATAAATATTTCAGAAAACTTGCAATAGGAAAGATAATTGTTTTACATACATGCATACAATACATTATTTCGCTTTCAAATGTGGTGGAGCATTAAATGGAAATACTCAAGTAAAGTACAAGTACCTCAACATGGTACTTAAGTACAGTACGTGAGTAAATGTACTTAGTAACTTTACACCTGTCACCTCGGTAAATGATCATGCACATATTATAAATTGTTTGGACGTTGTAGTGGAGTTAAATTACATTGCTTACAAGTGTAAAGTAGAATTAAATGGAAAAACTAGCGTAATGTACAAGTACCTCAACAATGGTACTTAAGTACAGTACTCTGTAAAGAGTAACTTCCCACCTCTGTTTTTTCATTGTAAAGTAGCATTACATGTTCAGAATCAGAATCAGGTTCATCACCAGGTCGGTTGACACGGATGAAGAATTTGGCTTGATGTCGTGGTGCATACATAAAAGTAAAACAACAATTTAAAACACCGATAGAAAACTATTTTAAGAAAACTATAATAACATTCAAAAATAAAATAAAATAGTAAAATATAGCAGTATTTATAAAATATGGAATAAAATTGAGCAGTAATAAAAAAAGAAAACATATTGTGTACATTGTGTGCATTAATGTAATGCATAGAGTCTATGATGTGGCTATTAACACTAATACCAAAGTACAGTAAGTACCTTAACAATGGCACTTAAGTACAGTACAAGAGTAACTTCCCACCTCTGGACTCTGTCGATCACCGGGTTGCGCGTGGACTCCAGATAAGTGCGCGCCAGCTTCACGTACAGGTATCCGATGATGAGTCCCGGGGCCATGATGCTGGTGCCAAACAGCACCGTGACGTACACTTTGTAAGCCAGGGGGGCCAGAGTGGGCGCGCAGATCCGCTTCACGCCCCCCCCGAGCACGCGCTGCTGGGTCTGCGACACCATCACCATCATGGGCACGGACAGGAAGAGGGACAGCAGCCAAACCCCCCACGCGAGAGCCTTCCTGTAGCTCTTAGACCTCCTCACGGTGTCTAGAGGCTTGGTGACGGACAGGTAGCGCTCCGTGCACATCACCGTGAGCGTAAAGATGCTCGCGTGCATGGTGAGCAGGTCCAGGCTCAGCAGCACGCGACACCCCACGTCCCCGAAGTACCAGTCCTTCAGGAAGTATGTGACCACCACGAAGGGGATGGTGGAGAGGTACAGCAGGTCCGCGAGCGCCAGGTTGATGATGGAGATGTACATGGCGGTGGCGAAGCGGATCGAGTGGCACATCACCACGAGCGTGTACACGTTCCCCGCCACCCCGATGATGTACACGAGGGAGAGCAGCGTCCCGAAGGTGGAGGTGATCAGCAGGTCCGGATCCGCGTGAGTCCCGGATGTGCTGTTGTTCATGGCTGCAGAGTCTCTCTCCAGTCTCTCTCCTTATCTTCCTGCGCTCTGTGTACGGGAAGTTTTGGGTAAAAGATGCGCACGGGCACAGGTTGTGTCTCGCTGCTTGCTCTCTGCTGCGCTTTTCTCCTGACGTCACTGCTGTAACTCTCACACTGAGGATGTTTTATATATCAAAACAAAACAAATAAGATATATTGAAAGATATTTGACCGTCTCTCAAGTGAAGCTGCAAGGAATTAAACATAAAGGAGAGGGAAGGGAATTAAATAAGATAAAAGTTTGGGGCACCTGATGGCACAGCACGAACAAAATAAACGTCCAAGTCACTTTTACGCACAGCTCTGGATTCATTAAGGGGGAAACACACAATTTAACTAATAGATATCACGATGAAACGTACCCAGGTCATTACTGATAATGAGACAGTTATTTTGTTCATGCATGTCCCTGATGCAGGAACAAAATAAACTGGGGAAATACACAACCAATCAAATCACTTTTACGCACAGATTAGCATAAATCACACTACATGTGAATAGGGTAAACATTTAAACAAACATATATCACCATGAAACTTCCCCCCTTCACTACTGACATCAGAACAATAATGTTTCATTTTGCAAGTTGTCTGAAATGTTTCCCTCTAATTTCTCTAATGTCTAATTATGCAAATGAGGCCTCATCTCATTAAATATGCGTACATTTGCATCATCATCCGGGACAGAAGTGTAGCAGCTGTAAATATGGTAAAGCTGCAAGGAATATGTGAGCAGGGGGTTTGGAGAGATGTGATTATGAAATAAACAAACGTTTGGTGAGCACTAAGGCTGCACGTGAGGCACAGCAGGAGCAGAATAAACGTCAAACCGACGTCAGGTCACTTTACGACAGATCTGCATTAATGAAGGAGAGACAATCATTTTAACTTTTACATATCACTATGAAACTTCCTCAGTGTATCACTTATATAAGATCGAATATTTTTTGTATTGCAAGTTTTCTAAAATAGTATGTTTACATCTATAAATGAGGCTTTATGTCATTTTATATGCGCACAGATTTCCATTAATCACACTGCAGGTGAATGGGGTAAACATTTAAAATAATAGCTATCATCATAAAACTTCCCAAGTGCATTACTGACATTAAAACAATTTTTTATTGTATTGCAAGATTTCTGAAACAGTATGTCTAATTAAGAAAAGGAGGCATTATCTCATTGTGCTAATTAGCATATCATCCGGGAAATGTGCATCTGTGAACTTTGTGAAGCTGTAAGAACTTTTTACGTTATGTTAAAATATGCAAATGAGGCGTTATGTAAGGATCAATTTAGGACTAATCTGCAGACACAAAGTCAGTAATATAAACTCCTAAATGTGTATTTTTGATGTTTTTTGCCATTAATGTATAAGACGAAACGCTCTGGAAGCAAAACAGCCGGAAATCTCAACATTTCTCTGCATAAAAACACATTTGAGCTGACAGCGTTTCACCTGATTCTCCAGTTCCTTGGTGCAAATGAGACCGATAAGGACGCATTGAACTTGCATAATGAATCTTTTCTCACCCTATAGACGGCGAGAGCTCCTGATTCTGCAGCTGATGGCCTCTCTTTGTGCCTCCAGCTCAACACTATCATGATTGTGCTGCAGGAAAATCACCTGAAATGATTCAAGATGATTATCATTTGATGCAAAGATGAGTTTCAAATGCCAGCAATAACGAAATATCATTCACATCACTCTAGAAATACTCTGTGTGTCAGATACATGCTGCGGCTTCAGATCAGAAGACCAGTTCACAGACAACATTATAAATATATGGAATAGTGAATATACAGTTACAATATATACATTTTAATACATTACATATTTTAGATTACTTTTCTATCAAAGGTTTTCATAAAAATAAAGTAATAAAATACAGCATTAATCATCAGAAAAGTATTCAACTTTAAGTACACAAGCTACCCTGCAGTATACAAAGTCATTCAAACTAGCTGCAGCTTTACCAGCTTTGAGAACACTTTCATGATCAATCATTATAAAACATATCATATATATTATTCTGAAATGGACCAATCTGCACAATGACTACTTTTACTGTCTCTACTTTCACTATATTTTGATGAGAATACTTTTCTACTTTCACTTGAGGAACATTTTGAATGCAGGACTTTTACTGTAACAGAGTATTCCTACACTCTGGTACTTCTACTTTTACTCAAGTACAAGATCTGAGTACTTCTACTATTACTCAAGTACACGATCTGAGTACTTCTACTTTTACTCAAGTACAAGATCTGAGTACTTCTACTTTTACTCAAGTACAAGATCTGAGTACTTCTACTTTTACTCAAGTACAAGATCTGAGTACTTCTACTTTTACTCAAGTGCAAGATCTGAGTACTTCTACTATTACTCAAGTACACGATCTGAGTACTTCTACTTTTACTCAA